AGAACACCTATGATCTGCTCGATCATGATCATGCCCATCACTACCGGCAGACCGTGGGAGTTGTGATGGGGCGGTCAGGGGCCATCACTCTATGTGCCTTAGGGTACGAACGGTATGTCTACGGCAAGTTATCATTCGATACGATTCGATACAGTACTGTAGCTTACCGTACATATCAGGTGATGGTCAGGAAAGTCTCGGAGCTTAAGCCTGATTTCATTGGAAAGAATGCCTACGTTAAACCCATAGGATGGAGAATCAGATTACCTGATATCAGGATTTCAGATGTCGCAGTGCTGTTTTCCGGTATTCTACCTTCCGCAAGTGATTTACCGTAATACTGTAATTTACCGTATGGTATCAATAGGTAAGGTATGGTAATGTACCGTATCTTTCGAACACAGGCATGCCTTTCAGTCTCTACTTCTAGTCTGTGGAATCGGTTACACTATATGGATGTGGGATTCAGATAGGTAACTTGCCACATACCCTGCCAGTCCCTTAGCTATGCCATGTGTATGGAATATAGACTCAACTGCCCAACTCGTACCACCGTGACCCATCCCATGCTAACCTGCCTTAGTTCCTCCGGTTGCGGTAAGGCTATATGTGGAGGTAGTGCTGAGTGTATATGGTGTGAATCACGGGTGCTGTCTGGTTGGGATTTCTGTAGCCTCCCCCTCGGAGGAGGGTATTTCGAGTGATAGTCGGCTATGGTGTTGCCCTTAAGTAATCGGAGCACCAACCCAGTGCTAACCTAGAGCGGAAGAAAGACCAGTGGGTGTGTGTACGAGTACTCGAGTACTCGTACAGATGTTGTAGTGCTCAGAATATCGCAAAGTTCATAAAACACAGCATGGGCATGACAGAAAGAGAGGGTCTGCGTAAACTTAATCCCAATGGATTAAACAGGCTAGTGTTTTCCACTCTACACCAGGCTAAATGTCTAAGTTGTTTCGAAGGATACTCTTTCCAGCTATCTATACTTCCTCGCTTATCACTTCTGCCACAGCTAGTGGAGCCTTAGCACCAGTGTTTGAATACAGGCAAAGGGATAAATGGGTGGCCGGATGAGCCTGAGTGAGGGCAGCGAAAAAGGGACAACCCCATCTTTACCCACATCTTCCCTCCACATCTCCCCCCCTACACAATTTTTCGGGATGGCCGTTCGTAACTCTTCCGCTGTATGATAGCCGTTGATATGCCCCAAGCACCGAAGCGAAGAAGAATGCCGTGTCGGTCACCACGCCAGGCGTGTACTTGAGTTCTTTCCAATTGTATTGAGCCTTTCAACACCACGATACAAACCCCGATGCGGCACCCCACCAGCACGTACTATGCACCTGAGTTTCAGAAGGGGCACCATAGCATAACTCACTTACCAAGCCAAGATTCGTGAATAGGACGGTATATCATGTCTATGATAGGAAGAATGTGTGCCGTGTTAACTATGCCGTAAAAAAGATCTTGGACTGCCTCCGGAGCATACGAGTAGAGCAGGAGATACTCGGTTATATAGCTCATAGCTCTCGATTCGCGGCGGCTAGCCTTATGGTAGTGGGCTGCCGCCATCACATTCTATGCCGATAGGTATAGGACATGGGTATCCGGCTCCGCACTTTATGCAGGGTGGCGTAGAGTATCATATTCGGTCCCACGCGGCTCGCCCCCCCCGCAGCTGTCGGAGGGCACCGGTTTTAGTATCATAGTTTGCATTATCCTAGATGGTTTAGATTCATGGAGGATTATCGGGGGTGATGGTATCTCCCGGAAAGCGTGATTATCCAGAGTCCATTGTGTTTCACCCCGCTTCCGGCGCTATTGGATATACGGCGGTTCATAGCTCCACACACCTATCCTTAACTAGAATCACCCATCAATCACGTAGCTCACCATCTCTCCACCCCCAGCTGTGCTCAGAGCCTATGGTGATCTCACCCCCACCGCTCCATCCCGCAGCGCTTCTCCCAGCTCCACCAAAATAACCACCCAAAAATTTCCCAATACCACAACTCGCATAACAGCGCAAGATGTGAACAGCAGTAGTAGTCCTGATGCGAGTTCACGACATGTACCCACTCAAGAATCATAATTCGAGCTAATGGTAACCGGAAGTGGGATTCCAGGACCAGACCGGAAGGCACAGTCCGGTGAAAACACCCTTGTGAAACATTACCACCGCGGTGCTCCTGTAGGTAACGTCATCTACACCATCAATCGCTACCAGACCACCGAAGAGTTTTCTCACCGACTTCATTACGCCATTTGATATTTCCTGTCATAAAGCATCGGACTAGGAAGAGGGGGACAAAAGGAGAGTTGAACCAATTAAAAAGCACCAGGTCAAAATCTGGAAGTCTCGTTCGTTATCCAATAGTAAAAAGCGAAGATCCGCAAGTGCGGGAGATACTCACGGTAGAGCATTATGTCACATTTACTTTTTTTTTTCTGTGTACTGAATACGGTACTGAGGGTTGATTGCTCGTCCGATACGATACCGGTGCAGCGATAAGTCGATCGCTAATTAGGAGTACGGTAGGATAATCATCCCCTTTACAAGTACGGCGCCCCCGCCATATCTTGGCATAGTCTACGCGCCCATTCACCCCGCCAATCTGTAAAGTGTCCGGACAACCCGTCGTAGATTAGATTTATCTACCGTTATGGCGTCCGGGTGCTTTATTATTACAGACTCTGTTCGGATATCCAGTGTTTTGCTCACACCCGTCACCCCTGCCCGTTCGTGCGGTGTGCGCGCGGGGGATATTGGTTCCGGCTCACCGTTCGGAGGGTTCGTGGCGTGGCGGGCGGGATACCGTAGGAGGGAGGATTATGTGTTGAATCTTAAGGAATGGTTCCGGGTTGGAATTTAAGGCGGGGTAGAGCTTCTCATTGGAAAAAATATATCCCTGGAGTCTGTTAGGTTTCTAGCGTTTATGGAGGGTGTGAATGGGTCTTTTGGCGGAGGAAGCCTGAGTGATGGGGTGGGGCTGTGGTTCTTTCTTTTCTTTTCTTTTTGAGTTGGACTGTGAGACTGAACATGCAGTGCGGTAGTGGCTTAAGCCACTATCGGAAAAACGTGCTACCGGTTGGGTTGTGATGGAGGACCCAGAAAGCAGACACTGAGGCTCTGGTCCGTGTTTGCTTAGTAATACATACAAAAATCGATATCATACCATGACATGAATTTGCATAAGAGTACCAATTCCCCGCGAGAAGATCTCCACCTCCCCGCCTTCAGCAGATACCCACTCAATAAAATATCACATTCGGCAGAATAAAAGAGAACCCGAACATGAGCGGTTCCATAGACTCCGTTCCTCCATAAACCCAGCTCTTGTCATGGAGCGTTCTGTGTTCATCTCCGCTCCGGAGTGCCTCACACCATACCTGGAACGCAAGACACAAGCTCCGACTCATTAGATGATACCGTACCGTACGCCGTGCCCGCGCATGAGACCAAACGAACACGATTTAATCACCACAACTCTCCCAAGACCCAGGTAATCCACCCCCGCATACCGGTACTGTACCCACAATCCAGAGCCGGATATCCAATCTCGATAAACCAATTTTTTAGAACTTTTTTCTTTCTCCAAAACCTCCTCGCGTAATATACATCCAATGAAAAAATTAACTCGAGAGCTGCTGGATCCATCTCCAACGCCCAGCGACCGCGACCCCCGCCCCCCAATACGGATGCGTATAGCATATCATGGGTAATTGTAAAAACCGGAAAAAAAGTCGGCCGCGAACATGGGATCACTCCGATAGACCGGTTGACTATGATAAATATATGGTATGATAACGTGATCTCATCTGGAAGGGGGTTTCCGTTTTGTGCGCTAGCCGGTCTACACTCGGTGCTGGGCACGCCGGGTTAGGGTTTCTGGTGGCCGTTGTTGGTTATTGTGGGGTTGGGTTACCGATTATATTGAATGCACCGGAGCTTCGTTGGAGGGATATATAAGTGAGCGGAATAGTCGAAGATGTGTTTTACTCTAGTTTGATTTCTTGCTACTATGATAAGTGCGCTCGGGTGCATGACAGGTATCTGAGTTTGTGGGTCCGCTTGTGCGAGTGAGCTAGGATGCTTGAAGCTAATAACTATAGATAAATATTCTTTGCGTATGATACATGTCTGACCATTATCATGAGCCCGCTGTGGAAAGTCCTGGGACTTTGTCTAGGTATGTTCACATTTCCGCTTCCAACGGATATTTCACGCTGGTGTCTACTCCATCCGGCCGCTACTATTCTGGCTCCGCCCGGGGAATCTATTCGGCAGGAGCTCCGACCCTGAAGGAGTCGCCGCCCATGCCGAGATTCCAGAGGAATGCAACTTCTACGCCAATCGCTGGTCATAGAGTATCTTCTCCTCCTACTTCACCGCCAAATGCTGCCCCAGTGTTCAAGAGGATGGGTAAGCTCCCGCCTATTATCCGCCAGGACTCTCCGGGCGGGCCTCAGACTAGAAGGGGGGAAACAACCTCTTTGCCGGTATATGCTCCCAACCCACTGCCAACTCCACCATATCCCGCACCTCCACAGGGCTCGAAGGGGGGATCCCAACTTTCTAGTCGCTCACAAGGTTCGACTGGATCACATTCTCCCGTAAGAATTCTCCAGGGTGAGAGGATCAATCTTGTCCGGTCGCCATCTCCTATAGAAATTGCCGTTCCGCCACCCACAACTCAAAAGAGGCGGGGTTACAATCTAGGACACTGGTATCGGAAATCCGGCGCTTCAAGTATTGCTCCCTTGCCGGCAACGGTATACGTCCCTGGTGAAGGAGACCAGGAAGGCGAGTTACTTCCGGAGCGAGAGGAGGACAGATATGAACTGCATATGGAGCGCCCAGGCCATAATAGCGGCTACCATACTTCACCAAAGCCCATACCGGGCACGTAGCCGAGATGGCAAGTTTCCCAGCGCCACTCCCACCGGTATTACATCGCTCGGATACAGTGCATACAACTCTCCCCTCGCGCCGGGCGCTCTCACACGATGAACCCGCAGAAGCAGACTCGTTTGGTCTCCGGTCCGCAGCCCAGGGCGCAAAACACATGCCGGGTACTCAAAATGAAGCGGGGGAAACATTCGTTCTAAACATGTATCGGTTAGTATCCCATGGCTACGCGATCGATGCAACACTCTAAGAGCTTCGCAGACAAGCACCATTAGACCACCCGGGCCCGGTTCAACGCTCCCTGCACTTCCCCAAACACTTCACATTCGGCACCTCTCCATACAATCCGTTCTATGTAATTTATGCGATGGGTGAGACCACAAAATGAAACCGTCAGTGAGCTCACACTCCTACGCCGAGATCCCATGACAGGCGTGGATTTAAGTGTAATAACTCTTGGTCTGGAACCACCATCCCGCCGAATCTCTCCGGCGGGTGACGGCCTTATCGCGCTGATATATCCGAAAGAAGCAGTACTTTCTGCAATGTCCTCAAGTACCCCTCTCGCTGGATGTGGCAATACCGGTGTGCTGGTCGTGGGCACACAATCAAAAACGCAAGAGGCCCGTACCAAAGAAACTATACAAAAGGCATATGCAACCGAATATTGCCGGCTATCGTGGAACGCCCGACGCCGACGGTATTGCCCTTACCACCCCGGTGTGGTGGAAGGTGGAAGGTGGAGACGCATATCTGGTCGAGATCACCGGAGAAGTTGGCTTCGACCATCTTGGCGCCGGGGGAAGCATCAAACTTATCAACGTGGACACGGGCGAGGCGATGGTGGAATTGGACTTTGCTCGTGGCCTGCTGTTTGTGGACACACGGGCTACTGGGAAAATTCCAAACGATCACATCGTTGATGTGGCGGTTTGTGCAGTGCTGACTGTTGCAACTGTTGAGGGGCGGCGTATGCGGATCGTCCGCCGCAGTCAGAGCAGTACCTCAACCGTGAGCGGGCTGGGTATATGGGGTGATGAGAGTACAGTATCATCGATGAGCGCGAGCGCGGGAGTTGCTGGGGCGGCTTGACATCCTATTTTGCAAGATTATTCAAGAAGAGGGGGGGCTAAGGATCAACCCACTTAGCTCCGTGGAGAGGTTTGCTATTTCCCAGCCACCACTTTGCTGAACAGGTCGCGCCAAACAGTCATTCCGTATGAGGCTGGATGTGGTGTTTGGTTGTGTCTGTGGGGTTTCTCGAGATGCCTTAACTTGGCGAAAAGGGGATCATGATGCTGTGGTTTAAAGTGATTGTTTCCCTGAGGTGCTTCGGCGGAGAGGTTGGATGAGTGACGGTCATGGCGGGAATGTTGAGTGAAACTTATCGCTCATCCGACAGGTTCACTCCAACCTCGTCCAGAATTTCATCCGCGATTGTTCCATAGCAAAGATCGCACAAACTTCGCGAGTGAGGGTCTAACGAGGTGTAAGTTAAAGTTAGTTTGCATGTGAATGAGTTCGCGCCATACATGCTCCCCACCAACTTTTTCCAACGAATCCCGCCTTTTGCGTTGCTGATTAGGGGGTGAACACGGGGCAAAAGACCAGCGGTAGACCCTCTCACTTGGTCCTTCCCAAAGCCGAATTTGGGGCTTCATGGGCTTGGGGTCGGTGGAGAGACGTGGAGAACAACACGCAAACACGTCCTCGGTTGTGTCAGGGAGGGAGTGCAACGAGCCCTGCACGCTCTGGACGAGACTTCGCCGAGTTTGGAAGTGCACGGCCCAACTCTAACAGAGGGCGGGTTTCGGGTTGCACAAAAGGCTTCGCCAAGCATCCATCTATGGCCACGCTACGGTGCCGCATACGGTAGTCTACTTGTAGACCATATGCGTCACACCCCAGGCACTCCATCATCTTTCCTCACCACCTCTAGTCGAGTATGATACTCGAGTGCTTGGATACTCTAGCGTCTCCGAAACCAGCACCAGCGCCAATAAAAGTCGTAGTGATACCGAAAGAAAAGGAGTTACTGCCGCGGGGGCCCAAGGCAATCAAATCTCTCTGATATTATTCTATCCTATCATGCCGACCAATGGTGCGAGCGGGACGTGCGCCCCACTCTCCCGGAAGAAGTACAAGTACAGGTATGGGATCAATCGCGGAACAAGCGTGCGAAATAACTACCATCCCTTCTTAGGGATTTCTTCCCCCTTTATTTAAGATTGTGCCTTCCTCTTTTCCTATCCAGAAAGACTTCCCCGGCGGGACTTGTTCGAGTCAAGTTATCTGGTCATACGACGTAGTGGTAACCTTTCTTTCTGTCTCTTTGCTAGGCCGCACGTTCGGGTGCTCTAGATGGGGATGATACCGGGAAAGGGCTTGAAACCATTTAATTGAATATTTCACCGTGTCGGTATGCGACTGGTATCTACCGGTGCGGTGGGTCGGGGGATGCCGGTGAGCGGTGAAGTGAGGAGTGTATTACACCGGCCTGAGTGGTGGTTAAGCAAAGGGTAAATTTATGTTAGAGTGGGTGTGCATATAGTCTCGGGATGAGAAGCCGGTGGTGAACGTGAAATGCATGGTAGACTACTACTAAGCATGGCCATGATGGAAAACCAGAAGATCGTGGTATATTCACTCCCGATTACCAAATAGTGATGGTATTCAGGATTTTAAACCGGGCTGAGATGTTTGAGTAGCCAAGGAGAATCATACACTAATTTAGGCATCACACTGACTATGCCCAAGTCCTGATCCAGGAAACGGTGGTGTCAAGCCGGAGAGCCCTTTTTTTATCCTGGTTTTCTGTCAGCCGAACGGACTCCAAACTGACCTTGAACCATAACTCGTCCTCCATGTTGGTATGGTGGTTGGAAATCCGCCGAATGGAAAACTGTGGTTTTATCTTCTAATTACTGCCGAACAGGCCCTTAGTTTTGACTAACCACTGAATCATTGGAAATGTAGGACTGATTGCAGGAAATGCAGCAACCTACCGGGATACAATTCTGCACCAGGCTGTAGAAGTATTTTACTGGATAGTCTCGGTGAAAATCAAGCATTCTCTGTGCCTGGTTCAGTGACGGCCTTCCAGCTTGTATTGACCTCACGCAAGGCTATTCTATAAGGATTGGAGTTGGGTGATATACAGGCTTTTCGACAGACTCGTTCAAAAGGCTTGGTAGCTTATGTATACATATTACCGAGCTTGATTCGCTTGCAGGCACTCTACTCAAGTAGTGTGTTCATTCACGGCAGTGCCAAATATGTGGATATAGAATCATTGCCTAGGGGAGAGTCCCTGCAAACACCTTTGAGACATGGCGACACTCATAAGGGGTATGTGGCTGACCTCCAGCAGGCGAGTGCCTGACACCACCACCAGTATGGGGTGGAGTGAACATCGATATAGGGCGTAGCCGTCATTCTACACCGCTGATGTTGACACCGCAATTGTGGCAGACACTCATTTACGGGGTTTTAGGGCGATATTGAAAGCGCTTGGGCTTGACACCATGGGTGTGATAGACATCCTGCACTGCCGACATTGACACCGCCATGGGGTGTGGCCTGCACTCATGTGAATTATTTAGGCGATGTTAAAAGCACCGGAGCTTGGCAATACCATGCCTCGAACTCGCCACCCAAGAGGGGTTGTTGCCGGGGGGGGGGGGTACGCGCTTTTCTCAAACAGGTTGTAGGGAACTGGGGGAGGTGCCAGCGTGAAGTAGCGGTTGGAGGGGGGCCAAACTCCCGATGCGGTGAATATTGGTCTGAAGGTGGATATTGTGGAAAGGTCTCATGAAGAGATATTTCCGAAATGTACGTAAAGGCGACTACACTAGCGAGGCCACCTCAAGTTAATGGATACATATCCAGATTCCCACTCGTCTTGCTAAATATCAATGTGATCCTGCAGGAATCCATAATCTATACCGGTATGATGTAACCCTGGGTCGGATAAAGTGACAATGTGAGAGATGTCGAAGCTCGGCATTGCGGCCCTGATATGGATATTCCAAGTAGTGCGGCCCCCAAAAGTAGACAAACAGTGTCATGCGCTAGGGCGACGAGGGGTCCCCAGGTTTCAATACTGACAATGTCCCTTCAATAGGGAGGCTTCCAGAGCCTGTCCTGGTAGGCAGGGAGGCCTCCATAGTTCGGATAATCCTTCAGGAGTGCCTCCTGGGTCACCCTGCACCTGTTGGTACAGCTCACCAGACTGTGGCAGAGACCCGCTTGCGTCGTCTAAATTTCCGTGCAGGTCAAGGCCCTTTCCACTGCTTCATCCCACAAACCTCTTTTGGGCTTTGGACATTCGATAGGCGTTCCAGGTTTCAGTGATCTACAATGCGCATCCAACCTCTGGATGAGATTGTAGCTGGTCCGGTGGAGGTGAAGGCTCTGATCGCATGCCGCCGGCTGGGGACTATAGCGCCGCTATGCCTCCCTCTCCGAGAATCCGCCACCCCGCCACGGCCTAGGGCCTCGGGTGGAGCACCTCCATTGCTCTCGACCAAATAATTGAAGCTGGTATCATCCGCACCGAGTGACCCTCTGTGATGCGATGGGGTTACCGAGGTATTAACCTTCAGTAGCACGTGAATATTCCTTATGTGTACGCCTCATGTCAAGGAAGTTGTTCAAAGATATTTCACCGTGGCAGTTGTGATACCTATCAGCCCTTACACAAATGATATTAGAAGTTATCTAGGGATGAGGCTGGGTGGGGACGCCGATCCGGAAATGATACAGAAGGATTTGTAGGCCGATATTTCCAGGAAAGGAAATCTGATGCGCGAGGGCATTCCTGATTGCCACTTTATCCTTGATCACATGCTGGTTCATGATTGCGTTTAGATTCATCACTTTTCTCTAAGCGTGGAAGGTATCCTAGGCGAGGTGATGGTTTATGAGAGAGGAGAGACTTCAAGACATAACAATAGGCAATGGATTGAGTGATGCCTACACCTCAATCTTCACCGGACCGGTGGTATAGAAGGGAATGGATCAACAACCAGATTGGGAGTCCAGATTTCGGTGTTCTGCGGAGCTCTGTTATGCCTTGGAATGGAGCTGGGAACTATAAGATCTAAAGATTAAAAAGGTTCCTGCTTTACGAACACTGCTAGCATCACATCTTGGTCCTGTCACAGTCAAGGCGTCTTCGTCAACTGTCCGACCAGTGTATCCGCTGGGGTCATAATTACGCAACCATTGGTATGATACAAGAAGTAGCGCTTCAACACATGTCCAGTACTTGTGCCTCGACTCAATAAACCCTTCAACGAAACAAGAATAGTGATTAATAGAAATTAATACCTGGTATAGGGCCCACCGGCCCCCGTCATAGCCTCTATCCTCCTGGGCATACCCTTAGCCAAACTACTATTAAAGAAACCAGAGCCTAAGGCTCTGTTTGGCGGGAACGGAACCGTTTGAGACTATTCGTTTTTCTCATACAAAACGACCGTTACGAAACGGAAGGATAAGAAAATTTGTATGGGGAACGGAACGGAACGGACGCGAACGGTCGTATCCAAACAGACCCTAATAGTTCAAAAAGTGCGATGCCCATTGCGAGGAGGAGCCCGTCGTGTTGGTAATCAGTACCTGTATTGCAATGCTGACTGTTGTACAGTATCATACCTTCTAGTCGCGTAATTTTGACCCCCGCCAATCCCACATCTTACAAGAGTACCCATCAGGCAATCCGACACTGTTCAGAAGCCCGTACTCAGGAATTTCCAGCAGTTTGTGACGTACTTCAATTTTGAATGTGTCCGGGATTTCCAACTGAGTCCTTTTTCTGCTCCCGCAACAACACCACTTTACCTCATTTCCTCATGACTCAATCAGATAAGATGTTTCCGTAGGTAGCTGGGTAACACGTACTCGAGTACTGTACAGTACGTATATATTTCTGATAACAGCCTTTCTCCCCCCACCTTCCTCCTCCTCCCCTGCCCCGCTTTTCTCTTCTCTCTATTCCCATTGCTTCACCTACTACCCAATACAATTTCCTTGTTTTCATCCCTCCGGAATCTGCTCAGACTCTTTGTATCAATTGGTACGAACCCCTTTTCAAGCACATCATGAATACGTGGGGTCTTGGCGAAGGTCACCGCTTGGGCCCACGGGATCCGGGAGCCATTCCTTTGGAGGGCAGAGTAGGGGGTTGCTACTTCTCGCCCAGAGCAGTGTTCCCAACCGTCCCGGGCGCCCTACAGGGCCCTGGCGGGCTTGCAGTCCCGGGCGTCCCGGGCAGGGTGGATAAGGACGGCAGGGCATGGCGTCCGTCTTTGATAAAGACCGCCGTCCGAGGGGTTGACGCCCGGGCCCGGGAGTCTTAATACAAATGGCATCTTCCGGGCGTCCTCACCGGGGACCGGCCGTCATTAGCAGAGCCCGACCGTCATTCGCAGGGCCCGGCCGTCATCTGTAGGGCCCGGCCGTCATCCGCAGGGCCCGGCCGTCATCTGTAGGGCCCGGCCGTCATCTGCAGGGCCCGGCCATCATCTGTAGGGCCCGGCCGTCATCTGTAGGGCCCGGCTCTCATCCGCAGGGCCATTTGCAGGTGAGACACCTATAGGGCCCGGCCGGCCATCCGGGCAGTGGTTAGGACGGACCACAGGATAGGCGTCCGTCCAGGGCAGAGTCCAGAAACCGGTGTCCGTCCCGTCCGAAGCCAAGGACGGACGGACTGGACGCTTGGGAACACTGGCCCAGAGTGCCCAGGTATGCCAGTCATTATAATGCAAGCAGGGCTTATCCCAGTGTCCGGAGATCACCAAAAAAACGACCCCTGCCTAAAACACCACCTCGCTCCTCCCCGAAAAAGCTTTCTACCATAACTATCACTTCGCCAGCGACCACCATTTTACCGACCGTTACTTCTACCGATACCGATCGACTACCTTCTCTCACCAAACCAGCTCTATCCATTGTTATGCAACCAGCCTTAAGTCCGAGCGAGCTGTCACCTGAGCAAATATTAAAGCTGCAAGAGAATCACGAAGGCAGTGTAATTTTTCCTGGTGTTTCTCCCCACGATCTCCACGAATGGGAGAAGAAATATCCACAAATTATCGAAAGCACAGAAGTACGGCATGAATACAATTTCCTCACCGAAAGTCTAGTGATTAAATGCATGCCACTGGCAACACATGACTCAGTACAAAATTTTTTTTGCGAAAGTGTTTTTCTGTCCCTGGTGGAAAAACTCGGAGTATCGCAGACAAGGGGACTGGCCAAGGTTGGTTCAGGCACAAGTAAGTAATTGAACAAATTCCATATAAACTCACGCTATCCGCTATCTCAATCGGGCCTCTTATCTCCGTCATGTTTCTAAAATTGGAGATTAGTCGCCAGGCAGAGGTAGTGGATAACATGAGTTTTTGCAAAGGTCTTTTTTTGATAATCTGGCTAATTATTTCTAGCGTTTACTGGTTTTAAAGGCGATTGGACAGGTTCATCCAAAAAGCTTCCCGACGCATATGTGCTGCAGCCTAACGCAGCGTTTCCCAGTATAGTATGTGAAGCTGGATGGACGGAAGGGCATGAGGAATTGATGAACGACGCACGGCTCTGGCTGCTGCATACCGATGGCCAGACGCGAATTGTGATTGTTGTTTCGTTTAGCGAAAGCAGTGTAAAGCATTGCCTGCACGCCTCAAACCATGACCCGGAGGAAGAGCATGAGGAACAGCGACATGAAGGCACCTGTGAGGAGGAAACTGTCATTGACAGTGTTGATGCAGCAACGAACTTATAATGATTTAGCCGACAAGCTAAGAGACCTTGATTTAGCCGACAAGCTAAGAGACCTTAATCAGAGAGACAAGCTAAAACAGCCCTTAATTGGCAACTTAAGGGCGACCCTCCACGTGTATAAAGCGAGCGACGATGGCCAGGATATCGAGCAAGCATTTGAGGCAACACTGCTCCCACCGCCGGAAGTAGAAGAAGGAGGACCCACGGAGTTTGGTGTTACAATGAAGGATCTTTTAGGCGATTGTCTCCCTGAGGGCCGAGATCCTGGGGATTGCATAATGTTTTCTTTGGAGGGTTTGCGGAACCATATTGGAGAGTCGATACCACATACTGAGCGTGTCAGAGCAGCCCACCGCGCCGAGAACCTATTACGAGCAGCTGGAGTATGGGAAGAACAAGAGACATTCGCTCAGTCAAAACGCCAGCGCCTAAATCCTTCTAGGGCAAAGAATTATCAGGATTGTTAGGTGTTTTAGCTAACATAGGGGACAAAATGGCCTTGCTTATTTTGTTTGTTTTTTATTTTCTTCATGCATTAATAGTTTTTTTTTTTCTTTTTTCTCCTTCGTACTTCTGCTTTCTTATGACAATTCGCCTGGTGCGAGATTTCGCTCTGAGAGCCCAAGGCCACCGCTTTGAACTGGCTTGTCTTTCCTTCGATATCATTATCTATTGTGCTAGGGAGAAAGAAAAAGAAAGGTCGCAAGGGGCGGGGGTGTACGGCTGGGGGAAAAGAGGCAGATATGATAGGATGAAAACTGCAGGATGTAAACTAGGATTAGGGCCTGTTCGGGAGCATGTCGAACTATGGTTTTCTGGAGACCTGAGGATTGAGAAAATGGGCTGAAACCCGGGGTTTGGAACTTTACCTCTAGACGAAATTATTGCAACCAACTCCACGGAGGATTCATTAGTTGCACCTCGCCATGCCATGCTAGGCCTGCCAAGATCCACCTTAAAGAGCAAAGTCGTGTCCCACGATCGGCTTGACTGCTGGGCTGTTCTGGCTTAGTTTAGGATTTTGGACGCAGGCCTGGTTAAGAAACTGTGATAGGAAAAATGATATCATTCTAATGAAGTGTAGTGCTCAGAAAGTAAGTAGACTATCCTGTCCGGAGTTGCTGTCATGGTGGGTATGGTGCAAGTATACAGCACTGAGCAGATGATATCTTCATAGCACCGCTCGAAAAATGTCGATCCCGTGCCTCGGCAACGTATTTAGCGATAAAGAAAAAAAGAGGAAGGGAGAGGAGATAGTACTGTTAAGAGAGGTGTCTCGCCGTATCTACGCATACGTCCCGTGACCGGTGATCGCAAACAAACTCCGGGGGACAAAACAAGCCAATGCACCGTTGGGCGGAAGAAAGCTTCCAATCCCAGCAGTGACTATGAAGAGTTGGCACATCGTAATCGCTAATGCTCTCAGCGCATGCGGAGGTCCCGTAGGCTCTAGTGTTTACGGAGTAACTTAGTCACTTTCCGGGAGGATGTAAGGTAAAAAAAACAACAACCAGCGGTAGCGGCATTATCAGGAGAGGAGCCCAACCAGGGCCCGAGGACTTAAACGAGCTGACCGTCGCGCAACTGCATGTGCCGGATCTGCCTTGGGAATGGCCCATTAATTGAGCACGAAAGCCCGGCGTGCTGCGGGATCTGTTTCTGTTACCAGGCGTTTCGCGAGGTGGGACTGCGCTATCTCTTATGAATCATTCTATTGACAAGAGTGGTTGTTGACAGGCCAAAGGATAGGACACTGCCCGGCCATGCGGCTTCTGGTCGGGTGATATGAGTAGAGTACAGGAGGTTTGTTAGATGAGGGGTGGGAGAGAAGGTGGTGAGGTCACCATCTGGACAGATTGGGATTTTGGGCCGCGAAAGCGATACGGGACATACATCTGCCAACCGCCGTTGGGGAGGCTAATCGCGGGTGAGATCAGGTATTGAATGCCGCAATTTTTCCTCTCTTTTTCCTACATGGTTCGGGGGGGAAGTGACCTTCGGGGTAGCTTACAAACGAACCCTGCGTGATGGTTTGATTGGGGATGTTGGAGGCAGTGCTTCCAGTCGTCCAGTCCCACTACTACCCCTGGTAGGATGCTCAAGCGCCAGCTCTTTTTTATGTTTATTTTTTATTTTTATTTCTTAACTTGTTTAGGTACTAGTATTTGTCCCATTGCGCAACTTTGCGTGTCCGTAGTCGACGGCCGTCCACCCCGTTCAGGACGGCGCCAAGGCAGTCCGTCTCGTCCTTCGTCGTCCTCACCCCCTCTTGGACGGACGGGACGACTGGAAGCACTGGTTGGAGGATTACTCTGCAGGGGATATTTGGGACTTTGCTAACTTAACACTCTCATCCTATTCCCCCCGAACAACAATCCCATATCCAATTATAGTATTCAGAATTAACCATAGTAAATTTTGGTCGGGGTTCTCCTCCTAATTAGCACCCAGAGCACAATAGTAGAGTAACCGAAACGAAAAGTGCACAGTCGCGATATCTCGTAAGTTGGTATCCCATACTTTTATTTCTCCGCATCACTCTGCCATCTCGTAGCCTAGCTACTCAGGGTGCGGTGGAATGGCCCCCAATCCACTCCCGTGCTCCGCGCAAAATCTCAATAAACCCCTATACAATCCGTTCCATAAGGATCATGGCGGAAGACTCGCTGGGTTTTTGATGGTGAAATAATTTTTGGCGACCACAGCCACTCAGCAGAAGCGCTCAACCGATATGCTTCAATTAGTCATGGATGCTCGACAAATGAATGGCGTGTAATTGTTACACAGCAAGCCTCATCGCCCCGCTTTCTCTTCTAGCCTACTCATGGGAATATTACGGGAGTAAAACACCCCCGATACCCCGATAAATTGCTCTACTATCTGCACTCAACCGACATCTTAGACGGAGCATCATGGCCCGAGTTACAGCCAACATCGGCGACGGTAATGTCAACAGCGGCAATATCACGGGCAGTTTCAACAAAACCGTCTATAAGTCCGACGAGGATGCGCAGATTATGCGTTGGCTATCTCCACTTGAACCGAATAACAGACATCAAAGTGTGCGCAACGATCGGTTTGACGGTGTTGGGGACTGGCTTTTGGAAACAAGTGAGTTTCGGGAGTGGAGGGGCAGTGAGGGTGGAGTCGATAAGGCTGTCCTGTTTTGTTCCGGGAATCCGGGGGTGGGAAAGACGTATTTGAGGTAGGTGGCAGCATTCTTTAAGGAGCGAGTATGGCTGATCACCCGGGATACTAGCTCCCTAGTGATCGACAACCTGTGCGATCAGACAGGGACGGAAGATATCGCCGTGACAGGCGTGTACTGCGACTTCCTCGCCCAACAAGATCAGACAATCGCAAACATGATGGGAGCCATTCTGAGGCAGCTAGCAGGCAGGGGGGACATTCCGAACCATCTGCGCGAGGCGTTTCATAAAGGGAAAATGGAGTTTGGTGGGAGAGGGCCTCGACTGCCAGAGCTGATGAAAATGTTGCGGGTCGCTATCGCTTCATTACCAAAAGTCTTCATTTGTATCGATGCGTTGGATGAGTGCCTACAGAGGCATCTTCAGGATCTTCTTAAGTCTCTGAGGGATATTATTCACGAGTGCCCTGGGGCGAGGTTGTTCCTTACTGGAAGGCCTCATGTCAAGGATGATGTTCAGAGATATTTCACTTCGGCGGTTGTGATACCCATCAGCCCCAACGCAGAGGACATTAGGAGTTATGTGGAGAAAAGGTTGGACGGGGATGCCGATCCAGCCGCGATGAACGAGGATTTACGGGTGGATATCATTAGGATTATCGCGGAAAAGATATCAGATATGTGCGTAGGAGAATTTATCATTTCTACTCTCTCAATGATGTTTACTCACTAACAATCGGATGCAGATTCCTCCTTGTTTCGTTACACATCGACGCTATCCTGGGAGAGGTGACGATTTACCAGAGAAGAAAGAAGCTCGAAGAAATGACACAAGGCAATGGACTAAGCGATGCGTACACCGCAACTCTTGCGCGGTTGAAGGCGCAAAAGGGAAATAAATCAACACTTGGACTGAACGTCCTGATGTGGGTGGTGTATTCACAGCGGCCACTACGGGCGAAGGAACTTTGTCATGCAATGGGAGTGGAGGTGGGGTCTGCAGATCTGAATGATGAAAACGTACCCGCCTTACGGACAGTCCTAGCATCTTGTGTAGGCCTTGTCACGGTCGAGGCGTCCTCGTCTACTGTCCGACTGATACACTTTACTTTGCAAGAGCACCTCTCAAGTAATACGAACCTGTTCTCTGATCCCCACTCAACAATTGCGGAGGTTTGCCTGACATACCTCAATTTTGGATGTGTTCGCGATCTTCCACCAACTCTTGAATACGCCCCGTCAACGATGCCCCTCCTCGAATATGCTTCTTGTTACTGGGGGGAGCATATAAGAAGGGGGATGACGGAAAAGGCGAAAATACTTGCACTAAGGCTTCTCGATAGATTTGACGAGCATCTATGTGCTAAACTAATGTTTGGGTTCACTTGGCTAGATTGGGACTCGGTCCTTCGTTTTTACGTGGGTAGAGGACTTATTATCGGATTTACAGGACTCCACGCGGTAGCATTTCTTGGGATCGTGGGGGTTGTTAACGCGGTATTGGAGATGAAAGAATGGGATGTCAATGTAATCGATGGTAGAGGAAATACCGCTCTCGCATTGGCAGCAGGGAGAGGACATGAGGAGGTAGTAAAAATGCTCCTGGGACGAGATGGTGTTATCCCTGACAGGACAGGCACCGGATATGGACGGACACCGCTCTCATGGGCTGCCGAGTGCGGGCATGAGGGGATAGTTTTTAGATAATATCGGGGTTCGTACAGCAGAAACGACTTCCACTTGGGCCACACAACGAAAGACTTGTATTGATACGAGTAATAGCAATAAAGGAGAAGAATTCAAGAACTGAAAAGACCAACAGTATCGTGATTTCTCTCTTCCTCCTATGCTATCTTCCTGCTTGCCTTACTGACACATTCCCGAGGTATGAAGTTTCGGGCCGAGGAAAGGCTTTTGGTAGGTTACTGTTTGATAAATATGCAGGGTCGGTATGAGGTTCGGTATGAAGCTAATGGTCGTGGAACATCTCCAAAACGGTAGGCGGTATGAGGCGTTCTTGTTAGGGCGTTTCTGATCCTCCGAGGATGGGAAATAGCATGTGTGATGAGCAGCCAAAAATGATGAATGTCCAACACTCCCACTCTGCGAATCCAG